TCATTTCAAACTATATTACCTTTATATTACAAAGAGAAACTCGAGTCTCATGGATGGGCATTCTGCACTGATATTGAAATGGTTTGATGATTTTAAAACATAACAGCGTGAAAAAAGAGTGCAGGAAAAAATTGAAGAATGATAATTCTAAACAGGAACGATTCAGTTGCATATATTCCTATTAAGCTTCAAAACTGGACTCCGTCGGTACGGCGATTATGGTAATGATATATTTAAAGAAAAAAAATTGAAAAGAAAATGAAAACAGGAGACTTAAGTCTGAAAGTAAAAGCATAATTGAAAGCAGGAAAATAATAAAGTCTAATATTTTGAAAATTTGTTTAAACTGATAGGGAAAATAACAGTAACAGAAACTCCCCTTATTTTTTCCATTTTTGTGCGTTTTTGCTATGCAGCGCCATAGCGCTGTTACAGCCAGCAAAAACGCATATTGTCGAGAGGCTGTCTGTGCGTGTGTTCGGAAAGCGAGTTTATTTTGTTAACACTTTCATCTAAGCAACCAGGAAAGCTGGGAGGCTGGAACTTTGGATATATATTCCTGCCCCGTGTGTCATCCTCCCGTTTTAAGATCTTTCCCCGTACGAGCCCAGACCCCGACCCCCAAAGAAATATGTTGGCGAGAAATGATTTTGCGAACCAGGCAACGCAGAAAACTGAAACTTTGCAGAGATATTCTCTATCACGTGCAAGACAAAAATTTTAAACTCAGCTCTCTAGCTTCCCAACCACAACCTCAAGCGGTTCTTCCACCCAAAAATCGTTAGCAACTCAGACCCGAACCGCAGTTGTATATGCAAATGAACATGAATTTTTCGAAAAACGACCGTCCGAGCAATACTTTCAATTTTTAATGAACTGAAAGCTTGCATATTTTCAAAAAAACCGTTCGCAGCTCGAACCTTAACCGCAATCGCATATGTAAGTGAACGTGGATTTTCTGACAAATGACCGCTCGAGCAATACTTGCACTTTTTAGTGAACTGGAAATTCGCATTTTTTTAAAAAATTTGCATTTGTCATTTTCTCACAAAGTGAGCATTTACCGAAAAAACGACCGAGCTCCGTGTAAAAACGTGTTAAGCCCCACACGTGGTTCTTGACTGCAGCAGCGAGAGACAGGAGAGATACACCAGCAGTTTATTTTTCCAGTAAACGCTTCACTCCAGAGAAAACGATGAACAAGATGACGCGTCAAATGACGAGCGGGACGACGCGTGAAACGATGAGCTGGGGCACCGTACAAGTTGTGCAACAAAACGCCGGCGGTGGAGAAGCAAGACGTTAGCAGCGTTGGGCGTGATGCTGTTGACTGACCATTTCCTCGAATGGCGCTGCTGACTGACGATTTCCGCCAACCGAGGGTTAGGATCGAGGAGGGGATTTATATAGGGAAGATTAATGGAGGGAAATGGAGGGCAAGTTGGTTAGTGAGTGAGAAGGTAGATAACATAGAAACATTTAGAATTTGGTGGAATTGTTAGAAGTTAGTAAGAGGAGGGAAGTAGGTCGAAGTATAAGGGATTAGTGAGAGAAGGGAAATGGTGTAATTATAGGATTACAAACGACCGAGCTTCGTACAGCTCCTCTTACCTCATATCCCCCTCCCTCACCTTACACCACCTCTTCACCGTCTCTCTACAGCTCACCCTTACCGCAGTTTTTACTGAGCCTTTCTATACATCCATCTAGCAAAAACAGTCTCCACACTTCGTGCAAATCTTGCAAGAGTGACATCAACTGCCTGCTGTTAATGTCAAAGAAGTAGGACAGGCGGCTGTGTGCACGAGCGACATACTCGCCCATACAGAGTTTTATTCGCACAACAATAGCGAGCCAGGCGCGCTCAGAGTGACGAGCCATGCAACCACAGGCAACTCGAAGGCGCCGCACCGCAGCCGACACGTGGCCAACAAAGAGTTCCAATGGTGCCCGCCCACTTATACAAGTAACGACCGTTCCTAAGTGCAATGCTTGAACATTTTCCGCAGATTACTTGTATTGATAAGCTGCCGCGCCAAAAAGTTCAAGTAACATATAGAAAATTTTCGTGTAACATAGCCCGATCGCTCGTGTAACCGTCGAGCAGCAGGGGGGTGGGGCTCGTGCGTCGAGTCCGGCGACAACAACCGCTCATCGCGAGGTGATACGGTTGTTTCATCGTATCCTCTGCCGCCAATGGTCGGTAGCGGAGTGCGACTTCCGGGGGCAAAGGAGTGGCAGGGCACAGAGGAGGGGGGGGGAGGGGGTGAGTTAACTAAATAATTTAAAAAGCTGCGCTAGATAATTAGAAAGGAAACTGCTGTTGCTGCAACTATAAACTACTATGGCTATTAGTGTTCACTTTTCCATTATCAAACCCTGAAGCTCATCCATTCAAATGTGTTGAGCAAACTGCCATGGCAAGAAGGGCAGAATGAACGACACTGGAAGTTCTGTTCGCGTACTGTTTCGTCCATGTACTTTTCAACAGCTGCTACGTCAGTTCTTGGCCCGTCATCGCTTTAATGAAGATTGCGTGTCGCTTTCTTTCACGTGAAGATGCATCCCTCAACTCAAAGCGCAGTGCCGTGAGTAACGTCACATCATCAAAACAACACAGTATGTGGGGCTTTGAAAGTCCACAGAAGCTTACATTCCTGACAAAGCCATTCATATCTACCTTTTCTCTATCCGCTCCCAGTTCCTTCGCGCATGTCGCTCGAATCGCGAGCAGAACTTGTTCGAACTCTCGAATACAATTTCCCCAGTCGCTGAATTCTCTGACGAGAACCCCATTCGGAAGACGGCTCCACGTTGTGCTGCTGGGCACATATTCTGGATGATTGTGTGTCCTCCCTTTGCTGATCAGTAATCTCACTTCGCAATGGTCCCGTGATGAGATACCTCGACGCGCGGCCTGTTCCTCATCAGTCAGTGACCGTTTACGAGCCCTCATAAGCGCGTAACGGAACCTCCCCCATTTACTTCGACACAGTACGTCTTGAAAAAGAAATAAACTCCTGATCCAGTTGGGCTTTGCCAGAGAAAACATTCTCCATCCAAATACCGCCTTCACGACTGCGATCGCGAGCGAATATTTGATAACCTTTAAAAAAGGAATACAACTTTTAAAAACGAATCTTCCCTCATCACATCCAAAACCAATACAAAACCACCACCCCGACCTCATTCCGCCATCCTTCCTTCCTCCCTCCCCCATTCCTCCGTCACCCTATAGCCCAACCCCCCTTGCTGCGACCCCCTCAGAACTGATCGAACTGTCGATCCCAGCTATCGGTCGTTATGCTACAAAGATCGGTCGTTACGCTACCGGAAGGAGTGATCGAGGGGAGGGACGAAGTGCAACGGCTCGTCCCG